AGGCGCCAGAGGAGCCGCGGCCATTTTTCTTCACCTTTAGGAGGACTGGACTCGGCCCTGTCGCCACCGGACCCCTCTGCTGGATCATCTCCAGCCGGATCATCTCCAACGGAGCCGCATCTGCCACTCCAGGAGGAGTTTAATTTGGATTTATTTGGACTTTTTCTTTCCCAAGCCAGGTATTCTGACTCTGTCGGGTTCTGGGATTGTTTGTTTCTTGGTTTTTTCTCTCCTTGTATCATTACCTTTGTAGTTTGCAATATTCTCAGTAAAGAACTGGTATTCCTATCCCCATATCTTTGTCTGAAAGCCCCATAGTTTCAAAGGTAGAGCAATTCGGAGGTGGGGGGTGGGGTTCCACAGTTTTTTTTCCCTGTCTTCTAAACCAAGACAGGAACACCCCCGTGCTGAGTGAAGAAGAGCAGAAACTACCTTCAGCCAAAAAGGCAGGCGATGCTCTTCCCTCTCCACGGGCGGCTTCCACTCGTCAGGTTGGATTTCCTCACAGCACTTGAACAGAACGGGCAGCTGCTTCGTCTTTTTATAGTACTGGGCGGAGACAGGGGAGAAGGTGAGACAAGACGCCCGCGGTCAGGTGACGCGTCGCGGAACTGCTGGGACGCAGGGCGAGGGGTGTGCTCTGGGAAAGCGTTCAAGGGAGTAAAGCCGCTCTCACCACTACTCCTTTAATAAATTCCTACCCACAGATATACCAAAAAAATAATAATAAAGGTTGAACAAGAGCTCCCTGCCATCTTGATTTGTCTCGAAAGAACACGTGAAGTGCTAGCAGATGTGCAGGCGTACTCGCTTTAAGTCTTCTCTCTTCAGTAGCGAGCTGGACCTTCAGCCTGACCAGAGACAACACTTGTGTTTAAGCTTCGCTATTCAAATTTTATTTGTATGAATTTCTCAGAATTACTGAAGCCATGGTTGGACTCTGTCTGCAAGCTCTGAAGAGTCAAAATAGCACTCTAGGTACTGCGAAGTATAGAGGCTGGGTCTTTTTGAAGAAATCCCCACTGCTAATCAAGGGAAAACATTTTCTTTTGAGGGCGCACGTACAAAAAGGCCCTTGGAACAAACAGTACAACAAGCGCCAACCAAACCCACAAAATCTGAATAAAATCAAACCCTAATCTGAACACAGCACTTACCCTGATGATGTTATCCGGCGCTCGATTCATATTGAGGTTCTTGATTCGTACCGTGAGCTGGTGGGCGGTTTTTGTTGGCAAGAGATACTTGCTGATCAAAGGCTTTGGGAACTCCGTCCCTTCAAAATGTTTCAAACCTAAAGCTAATAAACTGAAGAAGGAAGAAAGGGGAAAAAGAAAAAAACAAACCACAACCAAAACTCTTTTAGACAGTACAGGGGTTTGCTGTAGCACAAAACACAGACAGCCCCAAAAGTTTGCATCCTAGAAATTCTCCTTAATGAGGAAATGTCATTAAGTCATTTCATTCAAGCACCTACTTGTCCTCTGCCTTGGTGAAGATAATCTTGTCCCGAGGAGGGTTTGCTTTCAGAGAACATACTGGCAGTAACTCTGGATACATAAAGACTCTCCTCGTTGCCAAAATCCACGCCACTTGCTTTGGCAAACAGGGAAATTCACTGGCTGAGGAAAGAATTAGCAGATAAGGACACATGTATACACGGACAAATCTTGTTTTTCACATCTGACTTCTGGAAAACACCATTTCTTTTACTCCACTGCAAAAAGACAGACTTTCTCCCTGGTTTTTAGAATTTGCATGTTTGCCCTTAATTTACATCAGCAAAAGGTAAAATGACTTTCCCCTTCCACCTTTTCTTTTGCTCCATAATGAAAAAGCACGTGTAAAAAGCTCTGTTTATTTTAACCCAGTTCAGCCTCTAGATAGCACAAAAATCACACACCAAATACGCTGGAAACCAGCAGATGCGTGTTAACCAACACATCTGGAACAACTATTTCTAGTTTCGCAGCTTCTTGATGGCCAAATACCGCCTGCAGAACAACAAATGGCAGGATGTCAAAAAAAGTCAACAGCTTCTGTAACATCCTTTACTGTGCTGCAAGTTTATCTAAAAAAACCTCACAAAGCTAAAAACATTCATGCTACCAGCAGCTTGAGCCGTACCTCACCTGAAGGGTGCGCGGTGTGAAATAACTCGTGCTGTAAGAGCTTCCCCACTTCTCGTCCCCTCGAATACGTACCGCTCTTCTTCCCGGCTTTGCGAGGGCTCCAGTCAACTTGGACCTGGGCGTGGAAATCTTCGATGAGCTGCAGCGCTCCCTTCAGGTTACACGGCTGGAACATGGTTTGAAACTTGGGATTGAAAGGCTGGCGGAGGAGCGTCGAGCTTCGAGCAAAGTTCCCGAGCTCGCTCTGCAGGGTCAGAGCCAGAACAAGGTAAGGAGGTGCCTCCGAGTGGAAGGTAAAGAGCAATAGTGCAAAATGAAAAAAAGCTGGGGAAGTGACAGGCATAACAAAGTAGAGCGTTACAACTAGTTGTTGAATGTTGTGCGAACTTTTCAAGTTCACACAATGTTCACTAATTAGAGAAGCCGCAGTTTATGAACTTTGTTTTCAGTATTTCCAAGAAAACAATTAAAAATCCCGCAAAGGCAGGCCAAACGGGAGTACTGTTACGAGTTAGCGCAACGCAAATCGTTTCTCTAAGTACTGTGCGTGTTCACACCAGGCTAACAACACCCCTCCCGTCGTGAGTGGCAGTCTCTCTCGATTTAATGGGATCCATTAAATAAATGAAGCTCTCTCCAGTGACCAGCAATCATTAAAAGTCATTTTAGACATCCTTACCAAGAACATCCTGGTAGTTCCGGCCTCCGAACTTAGAGCAGGGTTGGAACTTGCGAGAAGGTGGATCTGAGTCAGAAGCTGAACGTGCTTGAAGAATAAAAACCAGACAAACGGGGGTTTATTTCAGTGCATCATATTAAAGCTCCAACTTCAGTTGCAGCTTTTTCAATTAATTTTTTTAAGGAAGCACGTCAAAGTGCTCACTGCTCCACGGGCTCTCCCTGCCCCCCACAGGGAACAGCAAATATTCACTAGGACAGACCAGGTAACATCTTATTACCTGCTGCATTTGCTGCTGAAGCCTCTTCCTTTGCGTGCCGTCCAGAACAAGGCTCTGGAGAGGCTTCTCATTCTGAGGTTTCGATTTTTCTATCTCTTGCGGTGGCTTGATCGAGGACTTTTTCATTCGCAGCTGCTCAAGCTGTTCCTTCACTGTCCGGTGCTGTTCATTCAGTAAATTTGCCAGAGGCTCTTCGAATCTGTTTGAGACCAGGCAGACCAAAATAGAACCACCACATGATTTAATAAGCATTTGATTTTGTTTTTTTATTTTAGAGTATTTCACTCCGTATCTGAAATGAACAGTTTAAGAATTCTCATCCCTGGCCTACTCAACACTTGGAAGGCACACTTCAACTTGAAAAAACAGAGTTATTTACACAGTTGGCTTCTACATCAGTCTTTAAATGTGCCACAGCACTGGTGTAGTTCTGGGATGCAACGCTTCAACCATTTATTCCAAGGCACCGTCTGCACAAACTCGCTGTTCCCTTCAGGAAGCGCCGCCTCTGGGGAGAGGCTGAGCTGGAAAGGAAAATCCCAGAACGGAATTCATTCTGTTTAGCTCAGACCAGGATAACGTTCCTCTCAACGGCAGTCAGGATCAAAGATAATCATGAAGACATCAGAACCAACCTCATTTAACTTGTATCATCAGGCGAGGGCTGAACCCAAAGGTATTACGGGGGTATTTTACCACAGGAAAGATCAAACACCTATTGAAATGCTGTTACTTTTCAAAAAATACAATAAAGTACTGCCTAGCTTCATGCAGAGTACTCTGCCAGACGTCTGCTGATGTCGCAGAAAAGAGGACGCACACATCACCGGCCCCTCAAAACCAGCTCTGACTCGCCCCCGCGTTAGAATGGTTTGTGATTTATTGTAGCTACGTCAGTGACTATTCTGATTTCTGCTAGTTTAGAATCCTTGACTCACTCAGGTTGGAAAAGCCCTGTGGGATCTAGTCCAACCACTGCCCCTGCTCTGCAAAGCTCACCCCTAAACCATCTCCCCCAGCACCACATCTCCAGGGATGGGACCCAACCCCGTCCCCGGGCAGCCTGTGCCAGCGGCTGACTGCTCTTGCCGGGAAAAGCTTTTCCTACTGTCCAGTGTAACCCTGCCCTGGTGCAGCCTGAAGCCGTTCCGTCATGTTCCGTCACCAATTACCCGTGAGAAGAGACCAGCACCAACCTCTCCACACCGTCCTGTCAGGGAGTTTATTTTAGCTACACCAGTTACTATTCTGATTTCTGCCAATTTATTTTAGCTGCATCAGTTATTATTCTCATTTCTTCTAGTTATCAGTTTCATTTCTGTAACAGGTCTGAAGTCAGTTATAGTAAAGTTGTTCCATGATGCTTCTAACAAAAGGTATCATAAAACCAGCAAGAAACAGCAAATGGGTTATTTTGCCACAAAAGAGCTTTAAGAATCTCGTACACAGATAAAACTGGGCAAGAAACAATTGTGAGAACTGCCCAGTAAAGCAAAATGAATACAAATAGCCCTTGCCGAAGACAAATAGTGAGAGAGAGCATCACGTTCCCCTGCTCTTTAGGCTGTAGCTGGTTTCAGATTTGCTGCACTCCCCTCTGGTACTGCTCATCCCAGAGAGAGTATCAAGAAATTCCAGCCTTTGTTTTAGCTCCTTTCCCAAACAGATACAGCTTGATCTTGAGCTGATCTGCCCCATAAACAAGGAGACACGATTCCAACCTCGGCTCACCTTAAGCTGGCTTCTGTCATCGGTTCAACAGAGCGGTATTATTACCTAGAAAGAAAAGGTTCAGACCCTTCCCTCTTCCAGGCATTGTTTCTAGCGTAACTCATAAAAAGAAAAAAAGAAATCATCCAAAGCTGATTTCCAAACTTGACAGTCGATTCAGACCTAGGTCTCAGCTGCCTTGCAGTCCTTCTCCTTTCCTAAAGGCCACCATCACCTCCAAGCTATTTACACTGGGCCCAAGCAGCCCCTCAAACATTTCTTGTCATCCAAACACAAGTCAAGGTTGACAGAGAGAAAAAAAAGAGGGGCAAGCTGACTGCTCCCAAATAAAAAACCCCAGAGCTTCCAAACCATCGGCTGTGCTGAAAAGGCACGGTCTGTGGCGCGTGGCACAGTACAGCTGCAGGTAACTAGAGGCCTTTTATCATAACAGTTATTTTTTCTTTATAATTTTACAACTATAAATGATCCTACCTGAGTGCCTGTGGCGTGTTAAAATTTGGCCGCGACTCCGTAACATTATCTTCATCTTCCGGACCTTCATCTTCCATGTTCGAGAAACCCATCTCGTCCTGAAACTGAGAGCAAACGGAGAGCAACGGTCAGGAAGGGAAAGCTCAAGCAGCACATTTACCAGCGCCGTTGGCTAACAAAGATCACGGTGATCCTCTTCTCACACACACACTTGTCTCCACAGGGACGTATGAAAGCTCCTACAGAAGTTCCTTCCTCCCAAGGCTAAAAACGACAGGGCCCTCTGCACGCGGTCAGTGACAAACTCCCTCCAGAGACCAGCCCCTTCTGGCTCTAGAGATTTCACGTCAGATCTGTTCTTCAGCACGGAACCCGATTTGTCACTTACTGTCTCGAACAGCTCCTCCATCAGTTCATTCACTTCCTTTTCTGCAAGTAAAAGGAGAAAGAAACATGAAGACGCCTTTCCCAAGGAGCACTGTCATAACATCAAGTCATTTACGGAATCTCTCTTGCAAAGAGAAACGCTCTTACAAAGAGAGGGCCAAAAAAGAAGAGGTCCCTGACACCAAAAACCTTCAGCTGAGGCTTTTGATTCAACAATATAAAAACTCATTTTCAGAATTAAAGGTAAAGCTAGGTCAGCCTGTAGTAAAACCTGCAAGTGTGCTTTACTGAGAAGATGTAAAGTGATGTTTATAGAACTACCCTGAAGGTTGTAAGGACTTGGCGAAAACTTAGTTACACTTAAGTCACAAGGCAAGCACTCAATTCTGAGCTGGCTGAAGCTTTTCGGACTTTTTTCTCGGTCTGCGGGGCAAAGTTGCATCTGACAGCACAGCGGCCCTGCCTAGACCCTCTCACATATCCAAGGAAAGCCAGCTTGGCACAGAAAAGCTGCCCAAGTCAGCACACGGATCTTTTTCAATTCGCCCACGTGGCAAAATCTTCGCGACAAAATGCTCCACCTTCAAAATTAATTACTAACCCTAACAAGAAAGGAGGCAGGGCTCCCGAAGGACTTACTGGTAATTCTCACGGCACGATCGTTTCTGAAGTCTTCTGTATCTGGTTCATCCAGATCTTCCAGGAAGTTGTACTCCGGGTCATCATCATCATCGGCTTCATCTAACAAGAAGCATATTTGGAAATGTTGTTACCCTGCCCCAAGCTGCCAGGAGCAGAAGCACTTGGTTTACAGCCTGACCCAGCACAGCGAGGGCTAAGGATCACCACTGGGAATTAACTGGACGATCCTTTTCACAGAAGTGATACCAAACCCATCCCCTTTTCAAACTGAGCTACCAGCACCCTTATTTGTAGCCACTCCCTGGATTTATTCTGTGCAACTTGATTTTCAGCTAAATTTAGGAAGTCAAATTATTACAGTTTGCGTTTTAGATTCAGTTTGCACAACTGTGAGCAGCGGGTAAATTCGTGACCAAAGGAAATCAAGCCCCAAAGCTTGTTCTAGTTGCTTCTCAAAGAACAAAGCAGCTGATTTCTACCAAGACATGTCCTTAACAACACTCGGATAGATCAAGGTATAGCAACGCTCTCGGCTTCAGAACACAGCACGATGGATTTAGGGTGAAATACATATCTTTTGGGTATGGTTGCCACCTACTGCATGTGCTGGCTACTAAATATTCACAAGGGACCCACCCAGAGGTTAAAACCCCTCACACACACTCAGGAAGAAGACGAAGAAAGTTGATAGCATGGAAAACACGTGCCTCTTGCTAACCAGGGTAATGGCTGCAGCCGAGAACATCGTGTATAAGGAGAAAGAAAAACCTCCAGGCTTTCAGCGTGACCCCCAACGCCAGCGCTCACCACCCCCCCACCAGAACATCCGTCACACACCTTCGTTCTCCACGTCGTCGTTCATGAGTCCTCCGAGCCACCTTTTCCACTCCTCGTCGTCCGCGGTGTTGGGATCGTACATGTCGGGTGTGATATCCGGGGCTCGGAGCTCAGCCTCCAGCTGACCGAGGGGAACATCCTTCAGCGGCCTCTTCGACCGGGTTCGGAAGGCGATGAGGCTGTCTTCCAGAGACTGAAAAGCGAAGGAAAAGCACAACAGAATGACGCTGTCTCTGCTTTTCTCAGTTTCGCCAGCAGCACGGCTTTCAGCCCAGTCAAAAATGTCCCATACCAAAAACACTAGGTTCCTGCCCCAAAGAACCATTTGCTTCAGTAGTCCAGGAAAAGCTGAACTTCCATGACTCCCGCTACTAAACCAATATTTTTTATAAGCATATTATTGCTCATTTATCTCACGCTAAACTCTTCTTCCCTACGGAGGAAGCAATCTCCACTTGCAATATTGACTCTCCCACGTATGTTTCACTCATTTGCCCTCTTCACTCTCTGAAATTAATCCTGAGCAGCAGCACGGGACTGTGTCTTCGTGACTCATGACTCTTGCACCGCAACACACAACAGTAATATTATTCTCGTTATTGATACAAAACAGGGGTTCTCTTTAGAGCCGAGCTTCCTTGGGTGTTAATAGTGTAGAATCCTAGAATCCTTCAGGTTGGAAAAGCCCCCTGGGCTCATCGAGTCCAACCACTGCCCCTGCTCAGGAACGTGTCCAGGCAGGTTTTGAATCACCTCCAGGGATGGGACCCAACCCTCTCCCCGGGCAGCCTGTGCCAGGGCCTGGCTACCATCCAGCCTAAATCTACCCTGGTGCAGCTTGTGGCCGTTCCCTCTGTTCTATCACCAATTACCCGTGAGAAGAGA